AGAGCCATCGACGGTGGCTCGTGGTCTCCTCCCTGGTGTGGTGCTCCGCTTGTGCCGCCTCTGGGAGTTCGCGGCTCCGCTTGCACGGGGGCGCAGCTTGAAGGAGCTTGAAGGGGGAGGGGAGAGACCCGGCTCCCCCCCCCGCTCACGCTTCCCCCGTCTCTCCTTCCCCACTGCTCCCGCCTTTCCTCCCGCCCGCCTCCGGGGGAAGAGGTCTCCGCGGGTTCCCCCCAGAGGTCTCTGCCTGCGGGGCCCCCCGAGAAAGACGCCCCAGAAACAGCAGAGACACCATAAACACATACCACCCTGCAAGGCCCTCAGCCCTGCCCCCCCCCCCGGAAAGGAATGATTTTGGAGCAAGACCCCCCCCACCTCCACAATCATTCAATATGAGCATATACTCCTCTCCTCTCTCCCCGCATGCTGTTTCTTTTACGCGCTGGATTTTGAATATTGTGTTTTATGTAAGCTAGCGCGGATTCAAAAGAATCGATTCTTGCATTGTGGATGTGTAAGCTTGTGGTGTGAGCAGTGTGTGCAAGCTACGTGACGTCAGCTACGCGGCGGAACCCGTCTGGTGTATGCTACGTGGTGAGGCGGCAGGGGACGGCAACGCTGCGAAACCTCGGCGGACCCCCAGACGCAGCGGGCTTGCAACGAGGCGGCAACGGGCGGCCACGTGGCGAAACCTCGGCGGGCCCCCCCCCACGCGCGCGACGCGCGGCCACGAGGCGGCGATGCGAGGCGGCGACGCGAGGCGGCCGCGGGCGGCGACGCGGCGAAACCTCGGCGGGCCCGCCGGAGTGGACGGGCCACGAGGCGGCCACGAGGCGGCAACGTGGCGAAACCTCGGCGGCCCTCCCCAGTGGGTGGCAACGAGGTGGCCACGAGGCGGCCACGGGCGGTGGCGCGGCGAAGCCTCGGCGGACGCGGCCGATTCTTGCCTGGCGCAAGAAGGGCTACCTTCGTATCGCGCATCCTTGTCGCGCATCCTTACTGTACGGGTTGACTGTAAGTGCGCACGCTGTTTGGGAAATATCGCTGTTGTTCGATCGGGGAGTTCCCGGTTGTTCAACATGGTGCCCCAGGCGCAGCGATCGCCTCATTAGGAGGAGGAGGAAGAGGAGGAGGAGGAGGAGGAGGAGGAGGAGGATCGGCGCGTTGTTTCCGATGCTCAGAACGGCGGTGTCGCCCCAGCGCAGGCCATAGTTCTGGAACCGAGTCTTTCCTCGTCGTTGTCCCCCCCTTACCTTCCTTCCCCGGGTCGTCCTGCTCCTCCCGCTCCTCCTACCCCTGGTCCTTCTGCCGCTGTTCCTCCTCCTCCTACCCCCCTCCCCCTCCTCCCCCCGCACTGTCCTGTTCGTGCTGCTGCTCCTCCTCCAGTGTACACGGGTTCCCTTTATGACCGCGCACATCACGAAAGTCTTTTGGGGGCTCCCGGTTCTCCATCCAGTTGCCTGCGGCAAGTCCCGCCGTTGTGCCAGCCCAGCATGTTTGGGGCGATATTGCAGGCCTCCTGGGCCGTCAGCTGACGAAAGCGTGGACACGTGAAAATCCACCAACCGATGAGCAAACCTAGAACCAATGGGTCATTGCCTCTTCGGGCCCTCGGGAGCCTCCTGTTGGAGCCCTCTTGAACCATCATGTGTGCCTGTGTGAGCGATCATGCGGCCCTATTGGGCCATCATGGGGCTATCCCGGGCCCTCTTGGAGCCATCTTTGACCATCTTGGAGATTTCTGGTCCATCGTGGCTGCCTGTGTGACTTTCCTGGGCCTTCATGGAAGCCTCGGAGAGCTCCAGGGTGGCACCATGGCCGTCCAGGCACCCCCAGGAGTAGGGGTGGTCCATGCAGGTGGGTTCGAGGTAATGCGCCGTATTGCCTCGATTATGGAGGCTTCCTGGGTCGTCCGTCTTGAGCGAACGGAAGCCCACAAACGTGAGAACCCAAACATCCATGAACAATCTACGGGAAACCATTGGTTGATGTTTCCTCGGGCCCTCTGGAAAGTCTTCTTGCGGCCTTCTGGGGCCGTCATGCGGCCTCTTTGAGCCATCTTGAGGCCATCATGGAGCGTCATGGGGCCATGTTGGGCCCTCTCGGAGCCAGCTTCGGCCGTATCGGAGCCATCTTGGGCCATCTTGGCGACGTGGCCGCCCAGGATCCTTCGGGAGAAGGGGCGGTGCACGCGCCAATCTGTGATGAGAGGGGGGGTAGTTCGAAGACTACAGAAGACCCTCCAAAAAGCAGTTGGCATTCGTCCACGCCTCAACGTACCAGGAGGCACGGTGGCGGATCACATCCGTCGGCGGATAGAGAAAATTGAGCGCACTGGGGAGGGATGGGTGGGAGGGGTAGGATGTCAGAGACGGCGAGAGCGCATCCAGCTTGTCTCCCGCCTCCTCGCCTTCGCCCCTCTCCCTTCCCTTCTCTCTGGCTAAGCCCCCCCCCCGAGAGGCCCTCAGGCGGCGACCCGTTCGCGGCCGCGGATGCGGAGCAGGCCCCAGTGCAGGGGCCGACGACGACGACGGCGGGACGGCGGCGATGATGACGACGACTTAGGCGGCGATGGCCGAGAGCGTCGACGACGACGGCGACGGCTAGGAGGGCTACGAGGGCGACCGCGACGACGGCGGCGGCGGCGGCGGCGGCTCCGAAAGCGACTTCGACGGCAGCGACGAGGGCGACGGTGCCAGCGATGACGACGGAGACAGCGGGGGTGGAGACGACAGTGATTACGACGAGGATGCAGATGCTCCTCTAGCGACGCGGAGCACGAGGAGGGGAGCGGGAGGAGGAGGAGGAGAACGACGACAAGGAAGCAGACTCGTAGAATGGTGAGTATGAGGGCGTGGGAGGGGGAGGTTGGGTCTTGAATAGTGTGTGGAGACGGAGGGAGAGGTTACGGAGGATGACAAGAGGTGGTGGACGTCAGGATGAGTACTAGAAGGGTGCGATGAGGACGTCGGCAAGGCAGGAGGGAGAGGACGTGCTGGTGTTGCTACGATTCGCATTATTACCCGTATTACTCGTAGTAGCAGTCGCAGCGGTAAGCGCCGTAGCCGAACAAGTAGAATGTGTCTGTAGTAGTCGTCGTCGTAGTAGTAATCGTCGTCGTCGCAGTGCGAGTAGTAGTAGTTGTAGTAGTAGTAGTAGTAGTAGTAGCAGTAGTAGTAGTAGTAGTAGTAGTAGTAGTAGTAGTAGTACTGGTAGTAGTAGTAGTAGTAGTAGTAGTAGTAGTAGTAGCAGTAGCAGTAGCAGTAGCAGTCGCAGTAGTAGTAGTAGTAGTAGTAGTAGTAGTAGTAGTAGTAGTAGTAGTAGCAGTAGTAGTAGTAGTAGTAGTGGTGGTGGTAGTAGTCGTAGTAGTAGCAGTAGTAGTAGTAGTGGTAGTAGTAGTAGTAGTAGTAGTAGTCGTAGTAGTAGTAGTAGTAGTAGTAGTAGCTCATCCCGGGGTCCCACGAAGGGGTCGCGCGCATGCGCCTGAAAGCTGGTCGAGCAGCGCACCAATGGGGCGAGCCCCATGGAGTTGGGGGAGCCCGAGTGCTGCGCTTGGCGCCTTACGGTCAACGCTCAGGAAGACCCCTACACGGCCCTCATACGCTTCGCCTACGCCGCCGTGCTCGAGGCGGGTCTGCCCAAGTGCTACGAGGAGGACGAGGAGGACGCCGACGACGATGTCCGCGAGGCTCTCGAGGAGGAGTGGGAGATCACCGGTTTCGACCAGTCGGTCTTCCACCACGTCAAGGCCGAGCAGAGGCGCTTGCAGGCCGCCATGCACGTCCCCGAGAGGTTCCTCGAGCTCATGGAGAGCTACCGCGGGGGCAGCGAGGAGTACACGACGATGATGGAGCGGCCGATCCAGCGCTACGCCGATTTCGCCGCACGCTGCTTCGAGACGCTCAGCCCGGAGGACTCCCAGCGCGTCCAGCTCGGCCAGCGGGTCCCTCGCCCGGGAGAGGAGGCGGATCGTTTCTGGGCGGCGATGACAGGGTGCTTCCTCTTTTACGGCTGCGACCACGCCGGCCGGCCGTTCTATGGAGTGCTACCCGGTCAGCGCGCTGCGGCCCCGGGAGGTCTCGTTTGTTCGCTGAGGCTTCCTCGCGTCATCGTCGGCGGGGCCGCGAGGTGCCCCCTCACCTTGACTGCAGCGGTCTTCGGAGCTCAGGAGTCAGCCGGCACGCGCGACCATGCGCATGCTACCTCGCGGTCTCCGTCCCACCCCAGAGACGAACTCCCTCGTCGGAATGCGCCACGCGGGCAAGAACCTCTGCCCTTCGTTCGCGCGCGGGGAGGTGCGGGCTTTCCCGTTCGGCCCCCGTCGTGCCCAACGGTCGATGGTCGAAACGCTCTCTCCCCCGCGGACCCCGTGGAGTTGGCCGAGGGCTTGCTGCGTGCGGCGCATCTTAGAGGACGCAAGGTGATAGGTTTTCCTCGCGAGGTCATCTCTCAGCCCATCCCCATTTCGCAAACGGATGAGCTTCCCCTTATCTCAACCTCCTCACTGCCTTCTCGTTCTCGGCTTACGGGATCGAGTTTATTCGGCGTGTGGTCGATTTATTGGGAGAGGAGTGGTGCCGTCAGATGACCGAGCGCCACGCGGACCTCAAGCTTTCGGGCAGCGCGGGTCGCGAGCCCTTGAGCTTCATGCGGGAGGACATGGCCACCGACCGGGAGATCGCGGACATGCACGACGACGGCTTTGCATTCGGGGGCGACGCTCTCATGATGGACTCTCCGCGTGTCATCAACAGCTGCCGCGCCTGCGCGGCGGTCTTGGGGTTCTTCGAGAGCCTCGAGGGCCGCTTGGATCGCGTCGACCGCGAGGGCACCTCGGTGGCCGAGTTCACGGAGCGTTTCTGGGTCGACAGGGTGATAGGCGAGGCGGACTCCCCGTTCATCGGCGCGGCCCCGCACGAGGTCAGCGTTTGGCGCAAGCCGATGCTCAAGCCCGCGTCTCTGGCGAAGCAACTCCGGTGGCTGGCGTCGGAACTGGGCGGGGCCCACCCGAACGCGCCGCGCGCCGACGCGCTGCTCAGCAATCGCCTCGACCCCGACGCGAGGCGCGAGATGCCGGAGAGCGTGGTGGAGGAGATCGAGACGGGCTACGCTCGCGCCTTCGGGGAGCACCGCGACGCCCTGGAGCGACTGCAGTCGGACCTCGCCGCTGGCGTCGCCGAGGGGTCCGTGGACGAGGAGAACGTGAGGTGCTGACCCGCTCCCGCGGCAGATCCCCAATTTAATGTCGCCGCCCTGGACGTGGCCCTCGGTGAGGATCTCGAGCGCCAGATCTTTGGGCCCCCAGGGCAGGCGGGCGGCAGCGGTGACCTCGAGGGAGAGGTGCAAGCGCTGCCGTCGCAGGTCTTCGCAGCCATTGCGCAAGGAACAGGCCAGTCCGCCTGAACGCTGAGACTCTGCAGGCCCTCAGCATCGTTTACTTCTAAGCCCTCGGGGAGGCTACGTTAGCCCCTGTTAAGATCCCGAGCCTGCCACTCTCAAGGATGCTGAGCCTGCATGCTCGCTTGCGCTCCAGCTTGAGCAACGCCGCCTTGCCAGCTCGCGCGGGTGCGCCCACAGCGGTCCCCCCCCCTCGCGCCGCGGGCCTTGGTGCTTAGGCCTTCGCTCTCCGCGCGGTCAACTGTGCGCCTAGCCATTCTGGCTTGCCGTTTTGGCTTGCCATCCTGGCCTCTTCTCGCGCCTACTTGCGCCCGTTGGCCTCGGTGGCGGCACTGGGGTCGCCCCGTGTCCTGCCGTGCCGCCGCTGTGCGCCTAGCCATTTTGGCTTGCCATCCTGGCCTCTTCTCGCGCCTACTTGCGCTCGTTGGCCTCGATGGCGGTACTTGGGTCGCCCCGTGTGCTGCTGCGCTGCCGCTGTCGCTTTACTCTTGGGCCGTAGGGGCCAGCTGCCCTCGGATAAGCGCCCGCCGCTGCACGCGCGTCAGACCCGCCATTTCACCCAGAGGAGGTGCTCGCTACATACTGGAAATGAGGCAGCCACAAGGACGCTCATCCCAAGGCGGTTGAGCCGTGGTGATGTGGTGCACGAGACCGAGCAGTAGTAGTAGTAGTGGTAGTAGTAGTAGTAGTAGTAGTAGTAGTAGTAGTAGTGGTAGTAGTAATAGTAGTAGTAGTAGTAGTAGTAGTAGTAGTAGTCGTAGTAGTAGTAGTAGTTGTAGTAGTAGTGGTAGTAGTCGTAGTCGCAGCCGTAGTCGTAGTCGTGGTCGTAGTCGTAGTTGTTGTTGTTGTTGCAGTCGTAATTGGGGTAGTAGTAGCAGTCATCGCCGCAGTTGTATTCATACTCGTAGTGGTAGTCGTACTGTTCGTCGTAGGAGCAGGAGCAGTAGCGGCGGGTGTAAAACTAGTAATTGTTGTAATCGTAGCGGCAGTCGTAGTAGTCGTAGTAGTGGCAGCATAAGCGGCAGTCGCAACATTGCCATAAACGTAGTCGTAGCAGCAGTCGGAGTATTATTATTAGTATGTTTAGTAGTTGTAGTAGTAGCAGCAGTAGTAGTAGTAGTAGTAGTAGTAGTAGTAGTAGTCGTAGTCGTAGTAGTAGTAGTAGTAGTAGTCGTAGTAGTAGTAGTAGTAGTAGTAGTAGTAGTAGTAAGTGTGGTAGCTATAGTAGTCGTAGTAGTAGTAGTAGTAGTAGTAGTGCTAGTAGAAGAAGAAGAAGTAGTCGTAGTAGTAGTAGTAGTAGTAGTAGTAGTAGTAGTAGTAGTAGTAGACGCAGCTGGAGTAGCAGTAGTAGTAGTAGTAGTAGTAGTAGTAGTAGTAGTAGTGGTGGTGGTTGTACCAATCGTAATTTCAGTAGTAGTGGTAGCGGTACTGTAGTAGTCGTAATAGTAGTAGTAGTAGTAGTAGTAGTAGTAGTAGTAGTAGTAGTAGTAGTAGTAGTAGTGGTTGGGTGGTAGTAACAATTGTAGTAGTAGTAGTAGTAGTAGTAAGTGTAGTCTACTCGTTAGTAAGTCAGTCGTAGTAGTAGTAGTGTGTTGGGTAGAAGTAGTAGTTAGTGGTAGTATAGTGGTAGTAGTGGTGCGTTGTGGTCCTCGCGAGAGTCGTGTAAGAAGTCGCAGAGGCAAAAAGTGTCGTAAGTAGTGGTACGTCACAGTAGGAGTAGTAGTTTAGGGTGACGTTACCCGGAGCGCTGGTAGTGTAGTACGCGTTTGAAGTATGTACTACGTAAGTAGTAGTCGAAGTAAGCAGTGTACTTGTAGTAGGCGTGTGCTCGTAAGAGTGCTATTGCCGTCGTAGTAGTAGTATAGGAGGAGGAGTAGGCGGAGGGAGGAGGGAGGAGGAGGGTAGTCGTAGTAGTAGTAGTCGTAGTAGTAGTAGTAGTAGTAGTAGTAGTAGTGGTAGTAGTAGCAGCAGTAGTAGGTAGTCGTAGTCGTAGTCGTAGTAGTCGTAGTAGTAATAGTAATAGTAGTAGTAGTAGTAGTAATCGTAGTAGTAGTAGTAGTAGAAGTAGAGCTAGTCGTAGCAGTGGTAGTCGTAGTGGTAGTAGTA